TAATTTTTTTTTAAAAAAGCAGGTTATAAGCCTATGAAAATTGCGAAGTTCAAACTCCGCTAATAATTGTCATTGCATTGAAACAAATAAAAATGAACAAAAATTATAGATTATAGCCCACAATAATCGTGAAATTTTTCTAAAGAAAACATAATTGTATTGGTTATTAAAGAACAAAAATGGACAAAACTTATGATTTGTAGCCCACAAAACTCGAGAAATTTTTATGTAGGGCAATTATTTGCTATTAGGTTGTAACAGATGACAATGGACAAAAACTGTTCGTTGTACCCTATAAAAATTGTGAATTTGAGAAAAGAAAACTTATTTGTCATTTAATGAAAATGACCCTAGTTTATAACCCATGAAAATTATGAATTTTGTACGCCAAATACTTGTCATTGAGTCAAAACAAGTGAAAATGGATAAAATTGCGAATTATAACCCATGAAAAATTGAGAATTTTAAAGTACTTCAATTAATATCACTGGGTCGAAACAAATAAAAATGGACAAAAATTGTGGCTAATAACTCAAGAAGATCATAATTTTTTAGACTGCAAAGTTAAATGTCATTGGCTCACAATGAATGTAAATGGACAAAAATCTTGGTTTATAGCCCTCAAAAATTACAAATTTTGAAATACATCAATATTTAATCTTACATAGAAACTGATGAAAATGAACAAAATTGTAGGGTTATTATTTATTATTATATCAATATCAATGTTTTATCACATTGCCTTTTATAAGGTGATTCCTAGATCATTCTATCACCTTTCTGTTTATCTGCATCCCTTTATTTTGTTCCTTACAAATTCATAATCAGTTTTTGTTTTAATTAAAAAATTTAGTTGTTACAACTATACAATTGATCCAATCATATAATGATTGTTTCTTAGGATCCCAACAATACGAAGCAATAAGTTGTTATTAGGTTTTCATTTATATTTATATAGTTATTAACAGACTATGAAAATTGCAAATTTTGCAGAAAAAAATCTTTAATTGCTATTGAGTCAAAACATTTGAAAATGAACTAAAATTGCGGTTACAACCTATAAAGATTGTGAATTCTTAAGTAGGCAAATTAATTATCGTCGGATTGAAACTAATTAAAATGGACCAAACTTGTGGTCTATATGGCCCATCGGAAACTTGTTTTCAAACACCGATTATTTGCCATTGCGAATTCTTAAGTAGGCAAATTAATTATCGTCGGATTGAAACTAATGAAAATGGACCAAACTTGTGGTCCATATGGCCCACCGGAAACTTGTTTTCAAACACCGATTATTTGCCATTGAGTGAAAATTGATAAAAATAGACAAATTGTAGGTTGTATACCCAATGAAAAATTGCGAATTATGAATACACCAATTAATTTTTATTGGATCGAAATAGATAAAAAATTGAGTTATAGCCCATAAAAAATTGTGAATTTTGAAGTATGCTAAATATCTACCATTGGATGGAAACAGATGAAAATGAACAAATTGTAGGTTATAGCCAATGAAAATAGCAAATATTGAGGAAAGAAAAGTTAATTGTCTGTGTCAAAACAATAAAAAAATGGACAAAAATCATGGGTTATAGTCCATGAGAATTGTGAATTTTAAAATTCTCTAATTAATTGTCATTGGATCGAAACAAATAAAAATGGATAACAACTGTTGGTTATAGCCCACAAAATCGTGAAATTTTAAGAAAACATAATTGTTATTTATTCAAAACAAACAAAAATGGATAAAACTTATGATTCATAGCCCATGAAAATTGAGAATTTTGAAATATGTCAATTATTTGATATCGGATGGAAACTAATGAAATTGAACAAAATTGTGGGTTATATAGCATATGAAAATTGTAAATTTTGAGGAAAACAACCTCTTAGTCGAAGCGTCCGAAAATGGACTAAAATTGTGGTTACCCATAAATTTTGAGAATTTTGAAGTATGGCAATTAAATGTCATTAGATCGAACTGATGAAAATGGTTTATGGCGCACAAAAACTTAGAATTTTGAAATACGCCAATTATTTGCCATCAAGTGAAAATAGATGAAAACAGACAAAATTGTGGTTATATAGCCAATAAAAAATTGGTGAATTTTAAAGTACGCTAATTAATTGCTACTAGGTCGAAACTAATGAAATGGAAAAAAAAAATTTGGGTTATAACCCATGAAAATAGTAATTTTGAAGTACATCAATTATCTGTCATCAATATTATAGAAAGCGCTAGGCAGACTAAGCGTTTAAGCTAATACCTAGCGCCTAGACCCCTAGGCGTACGCCTAGGCGCCTAGGTATTTGGCTATTTTTAAAATTATTTAATTATAAAAATTAATAAAAATATGTATTAAATTCATATAAATTTACAAAAAAATAACAATCCTAGATCTACAATCAATCATGCATACTTAAATACTACTAAATAGCAAAAATAATAACTAACAAGGTTACAGAAAGCACTAGGAGGCCAAGGCGTTGGATCCATCGCCTAGAGCCTAGGATATATTTTTTATTTTTTAATTATAATAATTGATAATAAATATTAATATTATAAAAAGCTTAGGTGCTAGACTGGTGTCTAGCCAGATTTCTTTCTTCATTTAAGTGGTGGTCGAGGAAGTTTTACTAAAAATCAGAGGACGTAATAGAAGTGTTCATATTTGGCGGTTAAAGGAGTTTGAAGGAGGTTGGAAGACGTGGAGGCTGCAACACAGAAAATCATGATCAATACCTAAAGGATGCAGTCCACGTAAGAAGATACTGGTCCCCTGAACACTCCCAAAACCTAGGTGGACAGTCTAAGTACCGCCTAGACACTAGACATTAGTTAGTCGGTCAAGGTACCGCTTAGGTCTAGGCGTACGCCTGGACGGACTAGGCGGAGGCTTTAAATTGATGAAAATGGACAAATTTATTGATTATGAAAATTACGAATTTTGAGAAAAAAATGAATTGCTATTTAGTCAAAACGGTCGCAAATGGATAAAAATCGTGGGTTCCCATGAAAATTGTGAAATTTCAATTTTGCTAATTAATAGCCATTGGGACGAAATAGATGAAAATGCACAACATTTGTGGGTTACAGCCCACAAAACTAGTGATTTTTAAAGAAAGAAAATATAATTGTCGTCGTCGACTCGAAAGGAACGAAAATGGAAAAAACTAATAGTTTATACCCACGAAAAATGAGAAAGTTGAAGCACACCAATATTTGCCACTGGGTTGAAACAGATGGATCAAACAAAATTGTGGATTATATCGCATAGAACTCATGAATTTTGAGGAAATAAACTTATGCTAAGTAACACTTAAATACCTTATAATTTCACTCACTTAGCACTTATATATCCCCACGTGTTATCACATTCATTCAAATAAATGGCATGTAGGTACCCTCTATCATGCAAACATAACACCCGAATGTTGCTCTATGATATTTACAGGCTAATTATAGGGCTTTCTGACCATTAATATTTGTTGAATTTATCTTTAAATCGATCCAAACTCTAATTTATAGTAGAATTAAGATAAGGTTAAAATAGTACTTAAGTAGTTCTAATACTAAATTTAACAAATGTTAATGCTTAAAAACTTTATAATTAGCCTGTAAGTATAAGAGAAGAACATTTGGGTGAAAATTTTCACATTTGCATTATTAAGGGTACATGCCAGTTTTAAATAGCTTAGGATATATTAATGAAAAATAAGTGAAGGTATATAAGTGTTGAGTGAAACTACGAGATATTTAAGTTCTATTTAGCCTAAAACTTAATCGTCATTGGGTTAGAATGATCGAAAACGGAGAAAGAACGTGGGTTATATAGCTCATGAAAATTGCGAATCTTAAAGTATGTCAATTAATTATCATTGGGTCGAAATAGATGAAAATGAACAAAAGTTATAATTTAAGCCTACGAAAATTGAGAATTTTAAAGTATGTTAATTATGTTTCATTTAGTGGAAACAAATGAAAGTGGACAAAATTGTGTTATAACACATGAAAAATTGTGAGTTTGAAGTATGGCAATGAATCACCATGGGGCCAAAGCATATGAAAATGGATAAAAAATATGAGTTATAGCCCATGAAAATGATGAATTTTAAAGACAGAAAACTTAATCATCATTGTCTCACAACTAAGACAAATTGACAAAATTGTGGTTTATAGCTCATGAAAATTAATTCTAAAGTTAACCAATTATTTACCATTGGAAGGAAACTAAAGAAAATGAACAAAATTGTGGATTATAGCCTATAAAAATTGTGAATTTTGAGGAAAATAAAACTCAAATATCATTGGGCCGAAACGTCCGAAACTAAACTAAAACCATGGGTTATAGCCCATAAAAAATGATAATCTGAAGTACGCCAATCATTTGCTCTTGCGTTGAAACAAATGAAAATAGACAAAATTGGGGGTTACAATCCATGAAAATTGTGAATTAAGAAAAGAAAACTAAATTGTCATTGGGCTGAAGTGATAGAAAATGGACAAAAACTTGGGTAATAACCCATGAAAATTGTGAATTTTGATGTTAGCTAATTAATTGCCAATTGGTCGAAATAGATGAAAATTGACAAAAAACTGGCTTATAATTAATAGCCCATGAATAATCGCGAATTTTGAAGACAAAACTTAAAAGTTGTTATAGACATGAAGACACTGACATAATCTAGTAAATCATTCTACAAACATGTCTAAGCTGAGGAAGAATTAAGGTTGGAGTCACCTAAAAAGCAAAGTCACTAGAAATTAGAAAAGCAAGTTCAGTAGGAAATTTTGCAGCGCCATTATTTGATATGCTACACTAAATTCATGTTGTCATAAGTTATTAGCTCAATTTCTACGAGTATTCAGAAATAATGCTTTATCTTTTTAGATGTGTTACACAGAAGACATTTTCCACAAGTCATCAGCTCATTTTTCTAGTGTTTTCTAGTGATAATATATCCTAAAAGCATAAAGGAGCTAGAACAGATCAGAATACCCATTATGGCCACCATGTCCACCTTTTGGTAACAACCGCAATTTTGCAAATGGTAAATCCATGTCATCATACATCTGCAGAGAATAAAACACCCATCTGTAATATATAGGAAACATTTGCATGTCAATTAACTGTATAACTACCAAAATAGAAGATATATACTGTACCAGAAGTACTTGATTCAGTGGTATTTTGAAATATGAAACAAACGAACCAACCTTCATTGGAAAAACTCAAATATAAATCATAAATATATTCGTCATTATCTACTTCAAAAGAGGACTGTTTTAGATGTGATTACTTACCGACTCAAGAGGACTGTTTTAGATGTGATTACTTACCGACTCACCACTAACATTCATGAACGTTTGTGGTTTGGCTAGCATGACAGGGACATCTCCAATGTAACCTGAATATGGAAGCAAATTGCAGATCTGAAAGTTATATAAGTGGAAAATCCATAAGCAAGAAAGAAAACAACTATGTAATATTTGCATTAAAACAACAGCCAGATACAAATTATATACTTCACCAAATAACTATGTAAGTTAATATTGTTAGGCTACTTATAGAAATGTAACTAAGAACTGCAAGGACAGAGCCCTTGAATGATAATAAGTTTATCTAATGGTGTAACTTTATTCTCAAATGATCATTGAACATCAGCTGGTCCATTTTTTTATTTTATTGCAAATCAGCTGATCCATTTGTTAGTATTTCTAAGCATTTTTATACAATGGTCCCTGTGCATCTCAGTTAAGTTATACCCAACATTTGCTCTAAAAAGTTAGAATGTATTTGATTGGAGAAACAAATAGATACGAGAAAAATCATAGATGAGTAACAAACAAATTAAGCAGGTAATCTCTTAGAAATTCTACTCAAGAATCGGATCTAGGAGGCTGGGTTAGTCAACTAGATTTTCAGCATTTGTTGCTACTACATTTTGTGTCTGAGAGACACGTGAAGAAGACAGTAGTTAATACAAAAATGGGGATATTGTACATTCATTATGCGTGCGCACACACATACATATACTACTTGTGACAAAGATTAAATTGGCATTATATATATATATATATATATATATATATTATATATATATATATATATATATATATATATATATATATATAATATATATAATATATATATATATATATTATATATATATATGGAGGTGATAAAAAGTTTGGTGACAAAGGCCTCTTGTCCACTTAAGTTGACATAGAGAGAGAGAGAGAGGTGAACTTATGTCAACTTAAGTGGACAAGAGGCCTTTGTCCACCAAACTTTTTATCCACTCCATATATATATATATATATATATATATATATATATATTATATATATATATATTATATATATATATATAAAGTCTCTTCATATCTTGCATGAATCCCTAGGTATCATCAATGGGTAGAAAGTTTTGGTGGATGGTCCACTTAAGTTGACATAAGAATTTCTCATATTATATATATATATATATATATATATATATATATATATATATATAGCTGCAAAAGTTAAACAAATATGTTATTGATTCTGTAAATATGATAAAACATTCTGCACATTTATAAAAAAGTTCGATAAAGTTTTATATAAAGTATAAACAAAAAAAAAACTTCTACAAGCCATCTGAAGGTTCTATACAGATTAAAAAGGACCAACATAAGTTCTGTATTAAAATAAATGTAAAATGTCTAACTTTTTTATTTTTAAAACATACATAAGAAGCCAAAAAAATGAAATTTTGTTCTTTACTATCGAAGAAACAAAAATGATAGCCTCACTCTCAATGTTTCATTCTAGTTATACCTTTCCTGGGAAGAATATATGTAACTTTTGTAACTTCACTTCTTATGGCATCGGATCTAACTTATTTGCTGTTTGACAATGTATTATTTAGCACATCATGGGTTGTTCGTAACTTTCTTGTTTCAAATCTAAATGGAAGCAAATATTGCCTCCTCCAATCCTAATGCGTCTTTGCTCTTCTCTATGCATTTTACTAGTTCTGCAATCTAATAGCCCAAAAGAATCAAAGGAAATAAATGATTTATCCCCATTTTGGTATATTTTAAGGAACAGTAAAGACATCCAAGTTTAAGATCTTTCCTCCTCCATGTATCACAAATATTTATTACTGCAACAATTAAAGAGTTCAATAACAGATTTTAGAGGGTCCTTGACATGCCATTCAGATTCGAGCCTAAGAGGTCCCACTCCTCTACGCAACCAGCATATATTCTGGGCTTTATTTCTGGCCGATGAATAGCTTTACGATTTTAAGCGACTCTGGCAACAAAGGGATTTTATGATAATTCATTTTCAAACAATGTTACCACATAAAATCCCCAAATTTCGGAGATACTAGTATGAGGCTTTTGAACAAGACTCATCTTCAATCTTTGGCACCTCCAGCACACATCTCAATGAACAAGACCTATAGCTAATTTGAGGTGGACATGCAAATGCTTTAGTGGAAAAGCACCCAACTGTCTCGCATTTCTTGCTTGAAATGCTTCAGGTAAACACACTGTTTTTGAGGTGCGTGCCCGGGCGTGGGGCGCTGCGGACTGGGACAAATGCGGCCCGCACCAGAGGCGGGGCGTTGCAAGCACACGAGGCGCACTTGTGTGCGTTTGGCGCCTGCGTCAAGCACATCGCATCATGCGCCCCAGCCTGTTTTGTAACATGAATGGGATTTGTAAAATGGGATGGGTTTTAGGTATGAAATTCACTGATTTCATAGACCCGTTTTGTAAAATGAATGGGTTTTGATTTTAGGGTTTCAAAACCCGTCGTTCTCTCTCTCCTCTCTCTCTCACGCGCCCGCTCCCGCTCTTTCTCATCGCGTGCTCCCTCCCAGACCCTGACGAGTTGGCTGACGACGACAACGCCAAAGACCCCGAACACCGCTGCCACCAACTATATCTGGCGAAATCAGTTTTTTTTATGGTTTTTTCTTTTGTTTTTCTTCTGTTTTTTCTTTTTGAAAATAATTTACATAATTACATATTTACATCATGTAATAGACTCTTTCTTACTAGTTGCTAATTCATTCTTTATCTTTTCATGTTTAACCTATAAAAAGAAAATAATAATTAGTAATTTAGTATACTTGTTTGCTAATTGTAACTTCCTTCTCTAATTAGCATGCTAACTACAAAATTATGAACATGTAAATATGTAATTGTTACCTCCATTCTCCATCTTTTCATGCTAACTAGCAAATAACAATTAAGAATGCTAACTAGAAAATTATGAACAGTCATGCTTGTTAATCATTTAATTGTTACTTAAAAATACATATTTCATATTTTAAATAAAAATACATATTCTTATTTGTTACTTGCTTGTTTTGTTTTGTAGAATTTTGCTTCTGTTAGATATTATCTTGCATTGTGATTTGTGGAAACTTATAAACTTCACTATGTTATATATGCTAATTAAAACTCTTTCGTGATTTAGTAGGTGAAATTATATTTCTTAGTCTTTTTATGTGATAATTTATAAATTAGTAGGTGAAATTATATTTCTTAGTCTTTTATGTGATAATTTATAAATATTTTGCTTATATGTTTGTTCGTCTTATGTTGAAAAATATTTGTTGGAAGTGTGCACCTCAATTCAGTGAGGCGCGTGCATCGTTGTGCGTCTTGCGCATGGTGAGCGTAAGGGGGGCCTTTGCGCCACGCCTTGCGCCTTGCGCCTCGATAACACTGGGTAAACATAATATGTGGGAAGCATGCTGCAAAGAAGGCTTGATGGTTCACCAGTTATTAAAGTCGAAACACCACGAAGGGAAATACAAGACTACATGGCGGCAGTGTTTTAAATGTCGATCGCCATGTCAGACATGTCAGATTTAGGGGCTAACCGACATGATATAGAGCTTTTCAATGTGAATTGTGTTTTCAGGGTTCATGTCTGATATGTCGGGGGACATGTCAGTTATGTCGGGCGGATATAACTGGGGACAAATGCTGGTTATGTCGGCCGATTTTTAGTTTAAAATGGGCTTATTTTTTTGCTATTTTTATCTAATCAGGTTTAAGCTTAAATTCCTAATTGTCGTAGTATTGCTTCCAAAGACAAAAATCGATCAGTTATGGGAAATGAAAAAAAGACCGAAGTCATTTTCGTTGCTCTTTTGTCTCCTTCAATATCTCATCGGTCTCTTCTTTGAACTGCTCCTTCCACATCTATATCGGGAGATCTTCTCTCTCATTAATTGTCAACATCAGACTCCTCTTTTCTTACCTCTTTCCTTCAACATCAACCCTAAACATCATATGTTATTTACTTTTTCATATGTTTAGACAATATAATTTATTAACTATGTTTAGATTTTATTTATGATATTTACATTACACATATACACACCATCCGATATGACAATCCGATATTTTTTCGTGTCTTCCGACATCCTCAATTTTCGCTATCCAACATGAATTTTAACCGTCCGACATGAACCCAACATTTGACATTTAAAACCTTGCCTGCAGCTAATGGTATTGGCCATCGATCAACAAACGTAATGCATCCAGAAAAGAAATGAGAGGGGTTGGGGTACATTCTCCCAGTGTTCTTCTCCTTTAACCCTGAAGAACTCTTTTATTGGTCACATAAACAACTAATTTGGAAGGGGAAAATCTCTGTGATGATAGCATTGATGATTTGACTATACCAACACATTCTTCAAAAAGTATACCAAATTAGCGCAAATCCAATCTTTCAAACAACGTCAATGGACGATGAAGCTTAAGAGAAAAGCCAGTTTACTTTGCCAAAAAAGCTAAAACACGCATGAGGTTCGTAACTCCTACTAAGGTTTAGCTAAAGGGACTCCACTCTTCAGGTTAGGCCTTTGCAAGAACAATTCTCATTCACGATCTGTCCTTGTAGCTAGATTCATCCCTGCTGGCTTTCAACTAGAGCCCAGAAACTTATACCTATTATCTGCACCAATGCTGGTTACCATACTGGCAAAATGCTAAACTTTCCTAACTAGTTACCAAAACAGGTTACTACCTTCAAACTCATGTGTCTTTCAGTGATGACCTTGCTAACCTAACTGTTATTTCCCACATAAGATTGCACAAAGATGGCATTAATGCAAAATTAATATTCATAAGGAACTGCTAATACGTGTACTTGGTAAGGGATAAGCTGCTAGAAATTCATTTTAAATTTCACACTGGCTATCAGTTACTAATCCATCTCTTATCATATAAAATGGAACGTCTACATCACACATCCTGGTGCTCTTCGAAGTTCAAACCAGGTCTGCAATAACTAGTTGTTCCAGATAATTCATATTTAACATCAGAACCAAAATTAGAAGGGAAAACTGTGTCAATGCTCCAAAAGTAAAAACTTAATGTGCTGCAGCTCCTTTGACTTTTTCCCATGTGTATCAGCCCTTAAATTGGAGATCTATGCTCTGCAGCCCTTCTTTAGCAATTATTACCTACCAACTAAATATAAAGAGAGAATAAAAAATAAAAAACCCCAAAATGCCATTATCTCTTCTATTCTTTCATGTTAAGTCTAAAAGCAAGTTGAATTAGACTTAACATGAAAGTCTAATTTCATGGTAAGTTCAATTTAATTCATGTTAAGTCTAATTTAATTATTTTAAGTCTAATTTAAATCATGTTATGTCTAATTCAACTTGTTTCAAGTCTAATTTAATTCATGTTAAGTCTAATTCAGCTTATTTTAAGTCTAATTTCATGTTAAGTCTAATTTAATTCATGTTACGTCTAATTTAATTCCTTTTAAGTTTAATTTAAATCATATTATGTCTAACTCAACTTGTTTTAAGTCTAATTTAATTGGACTTAACATGAAATTAGACTTAAAAAAGTTAAATTAGACTTGACATGATTTAAATTAGACTTAAAAGGAATTTAACATAATTGAAATTAGACTTAACATGAATCAAATTAGACTTAACATGAATTAAATTTGACTTAACATGAAATTAGACTTAAAATAAGTTAAAATAAATCTAATTCAACTTGTTTTTAGACTTAAAATAAGTTGAATTAGATATAACATGATATAAATTAGACTTAAAAGGAATTAAATTAGACTTAACATGAACCAAATTAGACTTAACATGAACCAAATTGGACTTAACATGAATTAAATTGGACTTAATATGAAATTAGACTTAAAACAAGTTGAATTAGACTTAACGTGATTCATGTTAAGTCTGATTCAACTTGTTTTTAGACTTGAAACAAGTTGGTGAAACAAGTTGAATTAGACATAACATGATTTAAATTAGACTTAAAAGAAATTTAATTAGAATTAATATGAACTAAATTGGATTTAACATGAAACTAGACTTAAAATAACTTGAATTAGGCTTAACATGATTTAAATTAGACTTAATATAAATTGAATTGAACTTAACATTAACCGAATTAGACTTAACATGAAACGAATTGGACTTAACATGAACCGAATTGGACTTAACATGATTTAAATTGGCCTTAATATGAACCGAATTGGACTTAACATATAATCCATGTTAAGTCTATTTCATTTTATTTTAAGTCTAATTTTATGTTAAGTCTAATTTAAATTAGATTTAAAATGATTTAAATTAGACTTAACAAGATTTAAATTAGACTTAAAACGATTTAAATTAGACTTAAAATGATTTAAATTAGACTTAACATGAACAAAACAGGACTTAACATGAACCAAACTGGATTTAACACGAATCAAACTGGACTTAACATGAACCAAACTGGACTTAACATGAACTAAGCTGGACTTAACACTAAACTGGATTAAAATTAGACTTAAAAGGAATTAAATTAGATTTAACATGAATCAAATTGGACTTAACATGAAGCAAAATTAGACTTAACATGAAATTAGATTTAAAATAAGTTGAAATAGACTTAACATGATTCATGTTATGACTAATTCAACTTATTTTTAAAATTAGACATAACATGATTTAAATTAGACTTAAAAGGAATTAAATTAGACTTACATAAATCAAACTGGACTTAATATGAATCAAATTGGACTTAACATAAAATTAGACTTAAAACATACTAAATTAGACTTAACATGATTCATATTAACTCTAATTCAATATATTTTTAGACCTAAAACAAGTTGAATTAGACTTAATATGATTTAAATTAGGCTTAAAAAGAATTAAATTAGACTTAACATCAACCAAACTAGACCTAACATGATAGATTTGGAGAGAACGAAGAGGGAGGAGGAAATGAGGGTATTTGTGCTTTTATGTTCGTTTCTCTCTCTTTGTGCTTAGTTGGCATAATAATTACATGAAAAAGGGCTACAACACATGATGTGACATTTCTCAGGGCTGAACCACATGGGGAAAAAATAGAGGGGCTGCAGCATATGAATGTTTTACTTTTGGGGCATTGACACAATTTCCCCAAATTAGAATAATTTCTTTAACTAATAAATTTATGGTAATTTTGAAATAAGTACTTCGTTCAACAATAATAACCACCCCTGCCAAAAAGTAGAAAAAGAAAAAGCAATAAGGAAGGGGGAAAAACTCTCTTTACATTTCCTAAAGAAGAGAAGAAAATGTGATCATTCTGTAGCAAAGGCGCTTCAGAAGTACCATTCCAAGAGGCCCTGTTGCAAATATAGCACAGATATTAAAATCTAAAGCCTTTTCTCTCTCCTACAGTAGGCACAAAACTAGTATCCTAGAGCATTTTCTTCAACAAATCAAGAACAGGTGTGCTTGTGTACCTCTAAAGCATTAGTGTCATCTTAGATTCTTATCTATAAATTTCGAGGTGATTTAAGTTTCCGTAATTATCATGAAACCACCACCTAAACTCTCGGAAGAACAAGGCAGACAATATCAGAGTAATGACGAAAGAAAATGTTAAAATTGAATATAGATCCTTAACATAAGAAATAGTTAATTCTATACTTCCAACTGAAATCATGGACTTGTAATGAATCTCGAAATTATGAACAGGCGATCACCTATATAGTACGAAGATCAAAAGAATTAAAAAGTTCAAGTTTCCAGTAGAAAAGTAAAGAAATTCAACAACAGATCCTTACTGTTCAAGAAACTAATGTTATAATGGCCTTTAATACCTGTGCAGAGTACTAAGGTAATAAGTACCAAGTACCAACAACAACCAGAAATACCCAATACTGAAATTTAAACATGATTTTGAAGCCTTAACTTGCATTAAAAATAAACTAAAGTTACATATAGAATTTGAAACTGTTACTAACATCACATCAAAGCAATATCTCCAAATGACTTAAGATTGATTATCAGTTACTAACGAAATGTACATACGTGTTATAAACATTATATAAGTTGCAATATTCCAAAACTTATGAGTACCTTTCCCAAACAATGCTTTCGAACGCATGCTGTTCACAGATATTCCTTCAGCTTCAGCTATAGCATCTATCAGTTCAAAACCAACCTGCAAAAAAATTCATGCATTACACAAGATTCAATAATTTACTCGATACTTCTTCACAATAGCATAGTTTTATGATGACACCATTTCATGCCACTTTTTATTCGATAAGTTTGGAAAGTAAATATGTTTCCAAGCGTTGGTATTTCATCAACAACGGGAGACTTCCAAATAATTGATATGGTCACATAAGTTAACTGCACTACAACCTGAACCGTACATTTTATCTCACTTCCAAATTCAAAGAAAAAAAATAATGCATTTGAGTTCATGCAACATAGTAAATCAGAAGAATGGGTATTGTCAACTAATAGTTAAATTATCATGATCAACATTTGTTAACTCATGGAATACCATCTTAAGTTATTTGAGTTTATTGATATACAATTTAACTAATGTGTACTGGTTGATCAGCCAATATAATATTTTTGGCTTTCCGCTTTATCCTTCTATTTCATGAATTATTTTAGTTGTCGTTTAAAATGAAGGGTAGAACTTACCTATATCATTTGAAGAGGCTTATATTATGGATGGCTCCTACATGATTAGGCGCACCAAAGAGGAGGTTTCATTATCAGAGAAGTCCATTTAAACAGCTAACGGAAGTGTGCATGTAATACTAGGGTGCCACATTTGGGGAGACCTTGTGGCACATACAGACCTTTAAAAGATCCAACAACGTGGATTATCAACTTCTTATTGTAAACACTCCCCTAAAAACCTTTCTCATGGTCACTCTCCTATAACCTTCCCACAACATGGCTACAGAAGGAAGAATGCTTTTTCAAGGTTTATTTTGGTGCAGTCAGTGTTCTGTTCAACAAACAACTCGAGCAATGATCACCGTCAATATTGCAAGAGAAGAATATCAACATTTTTAAGGAGCTTGATAGGAGTCAATTACTAATGGCAACCTCCATAAGCCACTTAAGAAAGGGTTAACTTTAATTTTACATACATGTCGAATGTTCTTTCTTGTCTTCCATCTCCAGTACATTATCTTCATGCCACATCAGTAGACAGCTTCAATGACATTGACATTGGACTTAATGTGCCACCATGGCAAGTTAGCCGTCGGGACCTACTTTTCTTTTACCTGGTGTAATTGCCACCATGAAGAAAGAAGTAACATATGGATGTAAAGACTTAATGACTCAAATGGCTTTTCTTTTCTTGTTCTTTTTTTTTTTGGGACCAAATAGATTAATATGTGAAGCATCAAATTAGAAGTTAAATGGTTTTTCTTTTTAAATGAAAGTCCCACCAAGAACGAGACATAGGAAGCCATGCCACCACAAAATGGAAGCCATGCCACCACAAAATCTTTCTCTTCTATGGATACCTTTCTATTTTTCATATCACATTTTGTGGATGATAAAGTTTTTTGACACAGCTAACAAGTCCACTAAATAACTAGCATAAAAATATTTCCATAAATTTGGAAAAAAAAAACGAAGAAACATTTGCAATGCACTCACTTAATGTACAAAGAATTACTAGTAACAGCTAAATTCAAATCAAATTTGAATTTCACATGGTTGACCTCATCAAACTGAACTCATATCAACAAATAAGTTTTCAAATTGTGAACTTTTTTTTTTAACAAATCAATCGATAAGGGGGAAAAGTATTATTTTACATGAGTAGTCTTTTTTATTCTGCTTTGATAGTTTATTTATTGTTGTTGTTATATAAGGTCTTTTATGAGAAGAGAGAAATAAATTCTAGCCAAAATGCACTGGGGCAAGTCAGTTATGAGCAACCTTGCGTCGGTTGAATGAGAAAGTTGTATTGTTAGGTCGGTTATATTTGTGGGAGTAATTATATCTATACTGCAGTTTTGTACCGATAAGGGGACATGGACTGTGATTATGGTCACCTCTTCAATTCTGAAGAATGAAAGGTTTATCCTTCCTTAAGTCAGCTAATCCTTGAGCATCTTATTTCCTTTTTTCCCTTTTTTTCTTGTTGTATGGAACCAAATAACTAAAAAAATTTCGGTTTCCTATAATTCTCCTCAATCAAAAGCGTGCTTTTGCCAAAAAGGCTATCTACAAGATCAACAACATCTATACATAATATTAATTTTCCTTTTTTTCCCCCTTCACATAAGGGGAAAGACAAGAACCTAGAACTTTGAATCAGATATAAACAAGCCCAAAGGTATGCCTTGGTCCTTCTCCAAAACAATACATGCCTTCTATTTAACGAGTAATCCTAACTAGACTACAAGTTTTGCACTACATTTGACACAAGATTGATTCTTACATTAATGCCCTAAAAATCCCTCCTTTTCAATAAAAAGATTCCCACTAGGATCTCCCAAATTCAAACACAAACTACAATGCCCTAGAATTGAACAATCAAAGCTAAAAGAGAGCACCAAAGTGGAACTTATTAGGGCAAGAATCAAGTAGACATAGAGAAACCAGACATTGTGGCGAGTCCCTTTGGTAAATCTTGCCGCGTGATTCGAGGCCGACGAAGAGCCTAGGGACCTGCGGGCGGAACCCTCGCCCTTCCGCCCGCTCCGCCGCGCTGGCCGCGGGCAAGAAGGAAGGCGGCGCGCAAGTGAGGAGGCCCGATAGCATAGCTTTCTGCGTCCTCACCCTCCTCCTCCCGCTCGCCAACGGTAGGGAGGAAGCGGAATGCCGCCGGAGGAAGAAGAGCGTGAGGGAGTGATCACCCGCCGCCGCTGTTGTCGAGATTAGCAATTCCCCCTCATACGCTTATTTTAATTGTTTGCCTTATTATTTGCAGAGAGAGAAGCAGAGAGAGAGAAAAGGATATAAATGGCTGGCGCGTCCGCCCTGGCCAGTGATTTCACTTAACGCCTTGAACTTTGAGGGGTTTGCACATAATTCCGCTGAACGTTTGTTCTCCTAACCACCACCCACCCACCCCCGCTTCTCCCCCTCGCCTCCCTGAACTTATGACCCAATGGCAAATTCAGTATTTTGCCCTAGTGGTGTCCCGATATAACATACTAGTCGTGAACACCGTGCAAAGCACGACATATCATTTTTTTCCACTATAGTAATCCCGATTTTTTAATGCTACAATAATTTTTTAGGTTGCTACAGTTCCGTCTCTGCTACAGAGTTTTTTAAATGCACAACACCCATCGCGCTACAGTGTTTTTTCAAAAAATGCTACAGTATACTGTTTACTACATTAATAATACTACAGTAAATGCTACCGCATCATTTGTTATAGCATGAATAGTGAATCTTGGGTTCTCCCATTTGTATAGAGGAGTAGATTAGTACATTAAACGTCAAATATGCAATATTTCAAATCTACATTGGCAGTTTTACTACTTTGTCCATAGAAAGTTAATACAAGTAAATAACAATAAATAATGTCATTTGGACCATTTGGTTCATGTGAAATAGGCTTGCAACGGCAAATGTTGCAACAAAACTTCTATTTACAAATTACAAAACATTTGCTTAGCAGCAAACGTAGTTGGTTATATTAACTAAATTTATATTTTGTTAAAATAAATACTATATCATTTATTGCCGTCAATTTGGCTGCAACAAATGTTACAAGTATTTGCATTTAACTTTAAAAAAAACTAAAAACCTACAATCACATCATGAAATTAGTGAATCGTAACTCAAAACATGCCGTTTGGATACCATGGTGTTTTCCTTGTTTCCATGGTGTTTTTGCCAAAAACAAAACACAATGTGTTTGGAAACCATGGTGTTTTTAAGCTAAATCACCATCAAACAAAAAACACAACACTTATTTCAAAACACCTTTTAGGTGTTTAAGTTTGATGTTTTGGTTTTGAGTTTGAGAATGTGTTAATATAATATCTAACATAATATATTAAATATAATTAATATAGAGTTATTATCAACATGCTTATTATATTATACTATACACTATACTACATTATAGTTAATTTAATATATTAGTAATATTTATTAAATAATATCAAAATATAATAAATAAAATATCTTATATAATAATATTAACATATTAAATACCAATATTTAATATGTTAATAATGTATTATATAATAAATAAATAATAATAAATATAAATAAATTAATAAAAATAATATATTCATAATATACTAATATTTATTAATATCATAAATACTAATATATTGTTAAAGTACTATTAATAAACTCTTAACATATTAAAAACTATAATATATTATATAATATTAAAATATTTATAATATATTAATTTATTAATAACATAATATTAACATTATTAAAAATATTATATTATATGAATAATATTATAATATTATATTATATTAATAATAGTATAATATTATATTAATAAGAAAATAAAATTATTATAAAAATATTAATATAATATACAACAATAACAAATTCATATACCAAAATAATTAAATATATAATTATTTGAAAATAGTATGTAATAATTATAATATAATAATAAATATAATATAATATAACTCATTAAAGTACAATATAATATTATAATACATTATACAATATTATATTGCATTACATTTAATACTTATAATACTATAATAATGTAAACTAAATATTATATTATTTTATTTATAATATATTTTATTATAATTAATATAGAATATATTAATAATATTTTTAATATTAATGTTATAATGAGTCAAACTAGTGTTGATCAAAAATACTTAACATGATGTTTTGAAATCATTTTAAGGGAAAAACACAACATCATGGTGTTTTTTTATAAAAACATAACAAAAAAAAACACAATGGTATTATTTTTGCATTTTTAGGGGGAAACACTTGATTGCATTTGCAGTGAACATGCATTCCTACAACATAAAATACGAATTACCTATGGTCGGTTATTGTTGTTATCTTATGGTTATTTTAATGTTCATCTATCTAGTGGCATACTATTATTGTTGTGGAAATTAAATCGATAAACAGTCATTTCTATTTTTCTAGCAATGTGCAAATGACACGTAAGTACGGCCACCTAAGTTTGTCATGACAGTTGCGTCATCATCCGCATTATTAGCATCAATATTACCATCTTTTTTCTGTGTCAAAAGTTCAGAGCATTAAAATTTGAACTGGAAGCTTCCGAGCATGGAAAAACCAGCACAAAACCATGAACTGTTGAGAAGAAAAGAGACCTGAAAATATTTGAATATTGGACCGCAAGAAACAACAGGAGTCCATCGAAAATGAGAACAGCGCGCAGCGCAATTTCTACGAAATTACATGGAATCTTGACCTGGACCATTGCACTCAACTTGTAATCTCTGAATGAATGGTGAACTCATAATTACGTTGGGCTGAAATGTATTAGTCGTTGCCAAATTAGAGAGTGACAGGTTAAATATGTGGAACCAAGAAAAGACTTGAGTGGTCTCTATATAGAGTAATAGAGTGCTTCTGTGGAATTTATTTATGGGTCATTTTAGTGGAGAAAAGATACAGTATATATGTTGAAATATTATACGTAACAAAACAAAGAGGCTTTTTTAAAGAATCACAGTCTTAATGTAAGCAAGGTTTGAATTTAGGTGGAGAACTTGTCGTGGAAGTCTATGAATTGTTCAGAAGAAGAAAATACCTGAAAATATTGGAATTTTGGACTAAAAGATTAAACAACAGAACTTCATTAAAAATGAGAATAGCAACAGAATTTCTATCTACAAAGGAAATATGTGGCACTGGAAATTGCACAAGTTATGTGAACTTCATAATTACGTCTTCTAGATCCATACAAAGTGAAATGAAATGACCTTTCCAAATTAGAGAGTGGCAAGTAAAAGTTGTGGGACCCATAAAAGACTTGACTCTCTATAGGGTAGCAGTGTTCCTGTTGAAATTTATGGGTGAGTCTAGGGGAGAGAGTTAAAAGTATCTTGAACTACTCAAGTGCACTTATCTTTGATTCACGCATGCTTTCCTGTCAAAACAAAGAAAATTAGCGTCAGAACATAGAAATTCAGAAAAGGTTCATTCGTAGGAAACTATCATGAACTTTATATACTAGAGAAAACCCCCTAAATGTTGGGAGTATCACAAAACCATATTTAACTTCAGGGGAAAAAAAGAATAATGATAACTACATTATTCTCTCCTACACTACTTTTATACTACAACAGAGCAGCATTGACTCCCTCAACGAGTCATTAATTTTGAAAAAAAAAGTTAAGAGAATGGACCCCACCTTTTCCTCTCTTGTAGTGGAAAGATAGTGTTGAGAAAAATGCCCTAGTGACACTTTGATCAAAAAAAAAAAATGCCCTAGTGACATACTCTATCTTATAAAGTATTGTTAAACTCTCACATTCTACTCCTAAAGTATCAATTTGCCAGTCATCCCCTATACCATGTTTATGGACCTACTATGGCCATTCTTTTGAATCAACAGTCAAATATGATGTTGCAATGTTTTCTCTTGCATTTCGGAAATGATTTTTCAACTCCAAAAATGATTTTCCAATTTAAAAAGGAAATAAAGGGTTTTTAAAAAAAAACTTTGGGGTGTTGTGCCAAAAGCTGTGTCGAGGAACCAAACCAAACGCCAATCCAAGAGAGCCAAACGAACTAAATATCAATGCACAAACAAAACATCAATTTTAACATGGTTCGGCAAGTTGCCTACGTCCACGATGCAAGAAGGGGATGGGGTTTTCACTAATAGAGAAGAAGAGTACAAATTAAGATTACAAATCACTCGAAGGAACAAACTAATCTCACCAACAAAACTCTTAATCTCTCCAAACAAAATCCTAACCAAAAGCTAAAAAAAATACCTCTTTTTGTGCTTCAAATATCCCCCAATCAATGCTTAATCAAAGCCCAATCAAAGCTAAACAAAAAGCCCTAAACAAAGCCAAAGAAACCCTAAAAAACGTGTCTCTATTTATAACAAAACACAATCTCAAACTGATTGGGATTCTAAAAACGAGTCTGCCACACCCTGGTGTGGCACACACCACACCCATGATAAATATGGCAGATTCTGCCACACCAGGGTGTGGCAGACACCACACCCATGACAGACAGGGCAGATTCTGCCACACCCATGGCAGACACCACATCAGGGTGTGGTGGAGCCTGTTTTGCTTATTTTTCACGTTTTTCTCAATTTCTTCCTCAATTCCTTCGTCGTTTTCACAATTCTCCACCTCGGCGAAGTTTTCCCAAAACTGAGCCGACACCAACCAAAACAAATGCCTCACTTGTTGCATCCAGTACGCTACGGCAACGGACTCTATCCACACAAGTCGAGACCCAAACGAGAGTGCGAACACTCACCTAAATGTCGGTATCTACTCACCAAATCGGCTACATCAAAACTGACTGCTACGTATCCTCTTTCCCAAGGAATCAAGCCTTCACGTAATTCACCCAAACGACCTCCAAAGGCTCTCAAACAAATAGAAAAGTCTGCAACTCTTCCCCAATATCGCCAACGGATCTGCAACTGATAGCGGCCAAACTGATACAAATCAAACACCTCCATCTGAGGTAAACCAATGGCCGTATCCAAATCATGTCCACCAGCTACAACCGAATCCAAAACCAATCCATCATCTGCATCCGAAATCAAATGATCCCCAACCTGTGTCACCTCAGCTGGAATCCCAAATAACGTAGTATGATCTGAAGTATGTGGAATAAGTTCCACCCAACGTGAAGTAGCATCACCCTTCACCTGCTGCGATATCCAAAAGACCTGATCAACACTCTCCACCTGCCGAGAGTCAAAAGTGAATCAGAAGCTCCCAAACGATAATCAAATGAGCCTCCGAATCCCAAACGCGCAATCGGATCAAATCTCACATCCTCGATGTGATCAAATGCTGGGTAACCAAATATCCGACGCCGACCAAAATCTGAAGTAGCTCCACCAGATCTAATAACTCCTAATGCAGCAGTCGACGACCTATGACTAAGATGACCCAAATATGTCGAAGCTCCAGAACAAATGCTCGACAACCAACGCCGATCCTCCTCCAGAAAGGAACGATCCATCGAAACTGTCATCTCATCTTGTCGCCCAAAGTCTCCACACCAATGAAGTGTCTCCTATTATCGTGAGCTCGGCACAAACGCAAGAAAGTACCCCTACCAAAGCTAGAACAACGAGTTACCTTTCTTCCAATACACTTCTTCTAATTGTTATTGATTTCTAGGACTTTACACCAACGGGAACTGATCGCGACCCAATAATACCTAGAACAATTACCAACTGCGGAAACTACAAAACGATTATCTCCCAATGATGCCTCCTTGAAAAGCCCCCAAATGCCTAACTGAACACCTCCTAAAAGACCCCTCGCTCGATGGATAGGAGTGCCAAACTCCACCTCGGTCTTGCTCATCCCAATGTGCTCAAAGGACTTCCATCTGCAGGTCAAAGCACTCCTCAACAACCTATGCACGGCATCACCAATCAAATATCCTAGCACCAAACAACATCACAATCTAGCCAAATCCAATGAAGTCGTCAGAGCTCTATCAATCACTGTGCTCCCAAGAAAATAGTATAAGTTACTCTTTCTGACGTCCTTCATCACAATCATGGACCCAAATGTAACCTTCAAGCGTGCATCCGCCAAGGTCACCCTATAGCCTGCTGCCTCCAAAGGTCCAAGTAAAATGATATTCTTCTTCAACTGAGGAACGAACCTCACTCTAACCAACTCCCAAATCACCCCATCACTCATCCTGATCCGAACGGTATCGATACCACCAATAGAGTATTTGTGATAATTCTCCATGAGCACGAAATCCCCTCTTTCCAACTCCTGAAAGCTGGAGAACCAATCCCTCCTAGGATAAATATGATATGTAGCGCCCGAATCCAACATTCACTCTGTAGAGTAGGCAACACAAACTGACGGCAGTGCAGATAATGAGTAGCCTGAAGAATCCGAATCTGAATTGTTACCACTAGTCTTGACAATATTCACCTCTGAAGCTTGTACAACTTTCTCCTTATTCTTCCCGGCTTGATCATTCAACTTTGGGCATTTAGCTTTCTAATGTCCATCTTCTTTACAAAAAACATACTGATTCCTACGAATTCCAAGATGTGCTCCTCTAGAATGTGACCTTCTACCTCGGTTTGGACCATTTGCCCTTCTACCTCGGTTTGGACCATTTGCTCTTGCAACCAATGCCCCCGCTACCGGCTCAATAGAAGTCTCATTGTCCTTCTTCCTGAGTTGGTAATTCACTAATGCAGCGGTGACCTCACTATATGAAAGAGATGTCTTCCCATTAATAAGAATAAGGACAAACGTCTCATATTCCTCGTCGGCCAAGGAACTCAACAATAGCAACGCCTTGTCCTCATCTTCAACAATGATATCTACATTCGCCAAATCTGCAAGAAGCTTCCTGTAGTGGTTCATGTGATCATTAATGAATGTCTCATTCTTCAATTGAAAGTGATAAAGCCTCCTCTTCAAATGCAAGCTGTTTTCAACGCTCTTCGTCAAGTACTTGCTCTCTAGGACCTCCCAAATCTTCTTCGCAGAAGTCTTATTCATCACATCATATTTTAGATCTTGAGTGAGACAAAACCTAATCACACCAAACGCTGTCTGATTCATCTTTTTCTAAACCTTCTCATCAATGTCGTCCGGTTTCCCGTCCAACTCCAACGTAACTTCCAAATTCTACGCATTGAGCGCATCCAAGACTTCGCATCGCCAAAGTCCAAAATTGTTAGTGCCATTGAACTTCTCCACGTCAATCTTCATCTAGTGGATACTCAAACTTTGGACAGTCTTCATACCTGAAGAACTACCCTCAACTCCCTCTTTCTCGGTCATAATCCTTAACACACCAACAACCAATGCGGAAACAAATGAAGAATAGATCCAAAACTGAGAAAAGAAAGAAGCTTTACCGAAAAGATCCCACCTTTCTTACCAACTGAAATCCTAGACGAGCTTCCCAAATCGATCTACTCCTCCAAATAGCTCAAGCGTAGCCCAATCTCTGATACCAAATTATTGTGCCAAAAGCTGTGTCGAGGAACCAAACCAAACACCAATCCAAGATAGCCAAACGAACTAAATATCAATGCACAAACAAAACACCAATTTTAACGTGGTTCGGCAAGTTGCCTACGCCCACGGGGCAAGAAGGGGATGATGTTTTCACTAATAGAGAAGAAGAGTACAAATTAAGATTACAAATCACTCGAAGGAACAAACTAATCTCACCAACAAAACTCTTAATCTCTCCAAACAAAACCCTAACCAAAAGCTCAAAAAAAAAAACTCTTTTTGTGCTCCAAATATCCCTTAATCAAAGCCCAATCAAAGCCTAAACAAAGCCAAAGAAACCCTAAAAAACGTGTCTCTATTTATAACAAAACACAATCCTAAACTGATTGAGATTCTAAAAACGAGTCTGCCACACCCAGGTGTGGCACACACCACACCTATAACAAACAGGACAGATTCTGCCACACCATGGTGTGACAGACACCACACCCATGACAGACAGGGCAGATTCTGTCACACCCATGGCAAACACCACACCAGGGTGTGGTGGAGCCTGTTTTGTTTATTCTTCACGTTTTTCTCAATTCCTTTGCCGTTTTCACATGGGGAACTTTTGGTTAGAAGGGAAAATCATTTGTGGAATTGCAGAAAACGGAAGAAATGCACATAAAGACTAATTACACATATATACCTTATCATTTCCCCTATTTTCCACTTATATGCACTCCCCTCTTTTTGATAGTATACCCAAAAGTTCCCTCTATTGTACTTTAAAAACCTTCTGTTATGCAAATATAAGACATTTCCTTTGAATTTTCTCATTTGACACTAACAAGTTAATATTAGAACTATTTCTCCTTTAATATATGTTACTGTTATTGTTAAATCCTTCAAAATTCTATTTTCAAATATACCTGTGGTAGGTTTAAAATAGCACAAGGTCCCTAATGTTTTTTCATCTCTTTTTTTCCCCTCTCCTTTATGGAGGAAATCTAATGCTATTATAAACCACTCCAAAGTTCGGAGGAATTTTGTGAAATTTACCCTTTTCAAAATCTGGTTTGAACAAAGAGATGGATAAAATATATATTCCCTTGTCCTAATAAAAATAACAGTCATTGTTTAACTCCTAACAACAGTCACGGTCACAAGCCGTCAGTTTGCTAATCACCTCAAAATTGTGTTCTCTCAGTCTGAGTCTTCTCATCAGTGCTCATAACTGAGATTCACTCAATTGGTTTGTTAATAATATCTGTGGAAAAAAATGGTCTTTTGCATCAGGGTCGTCATTTCTATCTAATCCTCAACATACTATTCTCATTGTGCTATAAATACAAAGCCAGGTTGGATCAACAAGACTCGTACTCCTCTTTAGACGATAATCGTTGTGCAGAAATGGACTTCATTGACCCCCCACTCTATTACGCCCTCATCCTATTGTTCTCTGCCTCCTATTACGCCAATCTAGCCTCATGCAGGCCTCACAACAACTTCACTGACGTCCAATCCCTGTTAGCCTTCAGAGATCGAGTCATAGATCGAAACGGCATTTTGGCCACCAACTGGACCACCGACACCTCCTTCTGCAGCTGGATTGGCGTTCAATGCAGCCGTCGTCGCCAGCGAGTCTCAGCCATTCGCCTTCCTGGCTTCGCCCTCGGCGGCGCAATCTCTCCTCACGTCGCGAATCTGTCTTTTCTTTCTGAACTAGTCCTCAGCAACAACTCCCTTACCGGTCCTATCCCTGAGGGCTTGGATCTCAAAAGTCTCATACTCGAAAGTAATTTTCTGACGGGTAATCTCCCTTCGACAATCTTCAATATCACTCCACTTGTCAACATGTATGTTGGATCCAACAATCTTTCAGGTACTCTCCCCTTGAACAGTAGCTTTACTGCACTCCCTAGACTAAGAAACATATCCCTTAGCTCTAACCATCTCACTGGTGATATCGTTCTGTCTGCTTTTGCTCTGTGTCCCGAACTCCAAATGCTTTCTCTGTCTGAAAATCACTTTGTTGGAGGCGTACCGGATGATATTGATAGCTTGTCCGGGCTCAAATTTTTATATCTCGGTAAAAACCAACTTAGCGGGACCATTCCAGCTTCGTTAGGCAACCTCACGGAGCTCACTGAACTCGATCTAGATCGGAACAAGCTAAGCGGAGTGATTCCAGAGGAGCTTGGAAATCTACACAATCTGCAATATCTTGCATTGCAATTCTGCAACCTGAGTGGGTCGATACCGATTGGTTTGCTCAACTGTTCCTTGCTCAACTTTTTTGATCTTAGTTACAATGAGCTCACTGGTCATGTACCTGTAGGAATAGGGAAGTCACTTCCTCTTCTCAACTGGTTTAATGTTGGTAGCAATCAACTAGGTGGCAATCTCGAATTCCTCGATTCCCTTTCTGGATGTAGGAATCTAGAGTTCCTTCAAATATGGGAAAACAAGCTGGAAGGTGCACTTCCAGATTCCATCGGGAATCTCTCATCAAGTCTGCAACTCTTCCTGGCTTTCGAAAACAGTATATCGGGTAACATTCCCTCTGCATTGGGAAATTTAAGTGGCCTTACCTTTATGTCACTGCATATGAATGAGCTCACCGGGTCAATACCATCGGCTATCACAAAGTTGCATAGCCTTCAGTCGCTGGTTCTCGCCTTCAATAGAATAAGCGGCTCAATTCCACCGGAGATAGGTCTATTGACAAACTTGAATGTCTTGGACCTGCACTATAATGCAGTCACCGGGTCAATACCAGATACAATTGCCAACATCACCAAGATCCAACATTTGTGGCTACATAGTAATAAAATGTCATCGACAATTCCTGAAAGCCTATGGACACTAAGCAGCCTCCTTGAGTTATATCTATCTGAAAATACACTCAATGGCTCACTTTCTCCACAGGTTGGAAACTTGAAGGAACTGACTTTCTTAGACCTATCCATGAATGAATTATCAGGTAACATCCCTAGTGCTTTAGGAGCGCTTCAAATGCTTACCGATATGGACTTGTCTAGAAACTCACTGCAAGGTCAAATTCCAAACACGTTCAATCAATTATTTAGCGTCATCAATTTGAACTTGTCACACAACTTTCTTTCGGGGCTTATACCAGATTCTTTGGCCAACCTCTCTTATCTTGATAGCCTTGATCTTTCTTTCAATAAGTTAGAAGGAAGAATTCCAAATGGTAGAGTATTCTCGAATCTCAGCATCTCTTCTTTGATTGGAAATCAAGCGCTCTGTGGAGCACCTTCATTAAGATTTCCACCTTGCTCTAAAAATGTTGCCACTAATAGTTCGACGAGAAAATTGAAGTTGCTGAAATATATTCTACCATTTACTGCTTTTGGTATTATCCTTGCTTGTTTGGGTCTTACTTATATATTCAATTGGAAGAGGAAGGCAAAGACTTCGGCTAAAGCTGATGACGCACATTTACATGATAATAGAGTAATTTCACAACGGGAATTACTTCGAGCAACATCCAACTTCAGTGAGGCCAACTTACTGGGAAGAGGAGGCTTCGGTTCAGTGTGTAGAGGATGCCTTGATGACGGGATGCTCGTAGCAGTAAAGGTCTTGAATTTGGAAGCGGGAGGGGCCTTAAAGAGTTTCGATGCGGAATGCCAAGTTTTGAGGACGGTTCGACACAGAAATCTCATCAAAATCATCAGCGTGTGCTCCACTATAAACTTTAAAGCTCTCATCCTCCAATTTATGTCCAATGGAAGTCTTGACAAATGGTTGTACTCTGGTAACTACTTCCTGAATCTCCCCCAAAGATTGAACATAATGTTGGATGTGTCCTTGGCTCTAGAGTACCTTCACCACCACCATCCACATGTCGTGCTACATTGTGATTTGAAGCCTACAAATGTTTTATTAGATGAGAAAATGGTAGCGCATGTGAGCGACTTTGGCATTGCAAAACTTCTCTTTGGTGATAGTAGCTCCATAATATCAGCAAGTACACCGGGCACCATAGGCTACATAGCTCCAGGTAATGAAAAATAATGAAAAGAAATCCAAATTATGTTGATCCAAACCTATCCTAATAATCTTCTTATACATTTGTTCTGTTTGGCTTTTCTATTTTCTACACAGTCCTAAAAAAGTTTTGAGAAGTTTACCCTTTTATTCAATAAGTGTTGCTTTCTTTTATGAGGTCGAATTGGCTCCCTATATGCGATCATGGGAATACAGGGCGTTAATTATCCAACCCTAAGCTAATCCAGGTTTCATGCTTAGTCTCTAACATATAGTTTTTTTATAGGATTTAATTCATTCCAAATGTTGTGAGTTTTGAAACCTGAATGCGATTAGTTTTGTTTGCAAATAGATCCATTTGTTCCGACAGATACGTGGAATATATGCGTCAAATAGCTTGCACATAGATAGATAGGTAGAATTTTAGTTTATTACTGATTATACTGATAGTTTTATTATTTAATGGACATATTATTAGCGAGTACTCTTTTTTATTGACAATAAAACATGTAAGTACATTTTTATTGACAAAGGAATGTTGGTTCTTCTAAATAAAAAGGTTTCTATGTTATTGAAGTAGTTGTACGAATAAAATGACAAAATAGTCCAAATTAAGCAGATACATAAACTAGTGCTGAATTTCAAATTTTGACAACCGTTTGAGAAAGAGAGGTTGAGGTTAAAAAGAAAAGTGTACCAGGTTTTTATATCTGTACATCATATTGAGTAGTCTTCTCTAAGCTACTAATCTATATTATATATAACTAAGTAACCTAGTCTAACAAAACTGAATGACTAGATAATGATCAATAACGCAATCGACCATATTATTATCCACCTAGGGTGAGCATATAATCTCTTTCTCCTGTGCTGATTCATTATGTGTGGAACAGAGTACGCAACTACAGGTGCTGTGTCTAGAATGGGTGATGTCTATAGCTTCGGTATTCTACTACTGGAAACATTTACACGGAAAAAACCAGTTGATGCCATGTTTGCTGGAGAATCAAACTTGAGAGAATGGGTATTGAAAGCATACCCAAGTGCAGTACTGGATGTTGTAGACTGCAATCTCCTGTATGATTATTCTAACCATGACGGATATGCACAAGACAGAGCAACCGTGCACTTGTGTTTAGTGGCCATCATCGAATTAGGACTTTTGTGCTCAAATTACTCTCCGAGGGAAAGGATATCAATGTCAGACATGGCCACAAGACTTATGAAGATAAAAATGGAACATTTTTCAAATTTTCCAAATTAGCAAAAAAAATTTATCTCTGTAGCCCATAACATGATAATAATTGGATTTCCGATTTTTCTTCCTTTCTTTATTGTAACTTGTCTCCGTGGCAGTGTTTATTCAATATCATAGTTTTTAGTCACAATCTTAGATACGTGAGAAAAACGGTTTCACTTGGTATGCTGGCGGCAGTTGCTACAGTTTCCTTATTTCCCAATAACAATTTAGGGTTTGCAAGACAAAGTTGCGCTTTGGACTTCTCATGCACAATGATGACATCCAAGATAAAGTTCCTTCCTGATATTTACGAATGAGATTTTAGAAAATTCACAGAAATTCTTATTGTCAAAAAAAAATTCCTATGTTAAGTGTAACCTCTAGAACTATTTAGTCTGTGGAACCAAAAAGGTAAAATACCGGTCGGTTTTGTCGTGCCCCAAAACTATAGTGGAAACTTATAAGTACGGGTTACGCGACAGCAGCGACCTATGCACAAGACAAGTTCTGTGCACAAGTTAAACCTGACACTTCATATAACATAGCTATCTCAAAATATACATATACATGCTTATGATAGTAGCCCGAAACAAACTGTGTGTGTGTATATATAATACACACACACTCGTTAGTTACATTCCACAACCTTACCGTTGCAATTATTTTACGACGCAAACACTCTTTTTGCTGAACATAACACCACTGGAGTTGTGTTTTTCATATAATCACTTCTTTATAATGCCCACGACCAAAATTCGGATTATTACATCGCTATCTCGGATCTTAAAAAAAATGGAAAAACGACGGGTGAGCTAAAGCTCAGTGAGAACATTTCCCACTAGAGTTCCTAAATATCTAACAAAATAAAAATAATAATTCCCAGAAATAGTGAATTATAAGTTTGACGCAGGATATTCCAAAAATAGCAAAACATGGTCCAAAAATAATATATTGTTGTTATATTCAAGAAAGAAAGCGCAAGTTGAATATTTCATACATAGTTTAGAATCAAAATCACTTTAAAAACAAGTAATTATTAAGAAGTAAATTGAATTATTAAACTTGGCAAAACCAAAATATTATTACTTTCTCAGAATCACATTCAAATCTCAGAATCTCAAATCTCAGTGAGATCTACATAAAATGTGAGAATCACCTGATAGATCATACTAAGGCTACGAATTATAGCTCATTGGCATGGAAATGCCAAAAGACATCATATAACACATATTTTCCGAGAATGGAATGCACCTAACACTGTCATAGGCCGCCGGCCACATCACAAACGCCCAAAAACAGGGCCATATCACAAATGCCAAAAGGCCACATCACAAATACTCATAACGGGCTACATAAAGGTGCATTCTAACCATATGGTAGGCACAAACATATCACTCAATAGTGGACTTTCTGAGGGTTTTGAAAACATCAAGAATTGCTTGTCAAATGGCTTGATTTTTGAAAACACATCTCTTGTCACATTATTTGATTTCAACAACATTATTTATCAAATTGCTAAATTTCAAACACTTCTAAATTAAGTGAGCAGGAGTAAACTCATCGTATCAATTAAAATGGTGCAACAAAATCACTTTATTTATTTTTATTCCGTATATCAAATAACGAAAAATCTATTGAACTCATTAAACCATTGAAACATAATTAAACCACTTATTTCTTTGATAACTTTCAAATAAATCGATATTCACAGTTATTTGTGATCGCGTGAGAATTAAAATCACTTATCACATTTATATAAAAAATCAAATTTATCTTCAATATCTCATAAGAAGTCAAAATCATAATATGAGTTAGGCCACGACAGAATCAATCATATCATATATCAGTTCTATGCATGAAGAAAAAGAAAAAAAGTAGAATAATTATTTCTACAAACATGATCAATCCATTATAATACGCCTGAAATTTTATGTTATAAAACAAATACTAATGAGAAATGAACTCACCTCCAATGAGTACGTCTTCCTCAAAATACTACTTTTCCGGATATCAGCCTGATCCTATAATATAAATATATAAGACTAATATTAATTCAGGACAAGTACATACTATAGGATAATCAGTGGTAAATTTAAAATCAATCATATTCAAGTATAATCAAATAATAATTATCTATAAATAAGGTACACGTAGGCTTTCTTGCTAATTTTAGCAATTTACCATAATTTTCTATGATATTATTCTAATAATTTTGAACTTATTATTAATATATGGTGCAGCTAAGGGGTTTACAATTAATTATTCGAGCTTAATTTCTAACTAAGTTTTGGATCTTATGGATCTGATTGCAATTAACAAAGCAACAATGGTCTATATGAACATTTTTATTCCTTTTTATTTTTTGAACCTATATACAAACTAATAAACTTTCAGAGGTCCCAAAGAAATTTGTTATTTTAATTTAGTTTTCCCATTCTCTCTCCTCGTTCCCTTCTTCATTCGTTCCCCCTTTCTCATTTTTTTTCCATTCATTTTCTTTTCTCTTTTTTTCCTCCGCGCCTCCTCAGATTTGGCCGCGCCTGCTGCTCTGTTGTCGAAGCAGCCTTTTGGACAATGAGGGGTCGGTGATGAGATCCCTGTAGGCGATTAGGTATGTATTCTTTCTCTTTTTTTTAACTCCTTAAGAAATCAAGAAATAATGCCCCCATCAACTCCTTAAAGTCAAAGAAAAACAATGAGTAGAAAGGTTTATACCTTGAATTGATTTGAATTTGTTGCTATTTGTTGGCCCATGTGCTAAAAGGAAAATGCCCCTACCTTTGTTCCTCCCCCCATGCTTAGCTGTCTGCTGCCATCTTTCTATTCCTAGCCCATATGCTAGTGTTGGCTCCCATCCCCTTGCCCATATGCTAGTGTTCGCTCCCATCACCTTACCCATATGCTAGTGTCGGATCCCACCTTTATTTAGTCGAGCCCTTTCACTGTTTTGGGAGGGGAAGTGTAAGGAGAACCCTCTGTAAGCTTTGTGCGAGAGACAGAGAGAGTTGAGAGGGACGGAGAGTTGAGTGAGCTTTGTGCTCTGACCCGTTGTGCGATCCTCTCCCTTACCCGAGCTTTGTGCTCTGAAGAGCTTTGTGCGAATCCCCCCTTTCAGTGAACTTCACCCTTTGAGAGGTGAGAGACAGTGAAGTAAGAAGAGAGAGAGACTGAGAGAAGAATAGGAGCGACGGAGTGAAGTAGAACAAGAGCTCTGTGCTCTGGAGATCTGAGTGATCCTCTCCCCCTTTTGTGCGATCCCCTTCCTCTTTGTGAGTGATTTGAGGAGAATATCAGCGAGCTTCCCTTTATGTTCTTGGTGGTGCACAAGAGAACAGCTGAGGAGTGGTTGAGCAGGCTCCTGAGCCAAACAACGACGACGTCGGTCATCCAAAAATGGTATCAGAGCCTCGTTCGCCACCGCAGGGCCCACTCGTAGGACACGTACAGCCCTTCGGGTTTCAGGACTATGAACACCTCGTTGTAGACGTCCTCCAGCTGAGGGGCGTGGCACATCGCTTCGATCGAGTACGCGCCATCGAAGCTCGAATCGACAAACGACATCTGAAGGAAGTTGTCGCAGACAACCTCGCAGGTGGAGTCGTCACCGCCCTTCCAAAACCGCTGATCGTCGCTGCAGATCTGCGACTCCAGAACACCGCCGGACCGCCGAGCGAGAGGGTAAGGTCGAAACCCTCTCCTAGGGTTTCGCTCGGGTATGCTCTGGCCTTTGTTGAAGATTACAGTTAATCTATAGCTTTGTTGAAAATTGCAGTAATTGTTGAAAATTATAATAAATCTTCAAGATTATCATTTTCCTTTTTCCACTACGTTTAATCCCTGGTTTTCAGTTCCACTGCGTTTAATTGCTGAAATTAATATTTGTTTGTGCTCGTACGAAAGAACAAAGGGTCTGAACCCGAGCTTCGTGCTCATCGTTATTCCCAGTTTGTTTGTGCTAGTTGCTTCGCACACTTTGAGCTTGATAAATTTTAAATTTTTTTCAGCTTTATTTGTATTTTTTTTGAAAAATTGTGTGTTTTTCTGTGTGAAAAATGTATGCTGCTAATCAATATGGTATGGTTCCGTTCAATGAAAAATATGATTTTAGCATTTGGAAACAAAAATAAAATGCATCTTAATTCAACAGAAGTCTTTTAGGGCTATTGATCAGACTTATTTAACTTCTGACACTGAAGAAAAACGGGCAAAAATGAATGAAACTGCTTGTTCCATAATTTATTTGAACTTATTTGACTATGTTCTTAGAAAAGTTAGAATTTTGGAATCTGCTAAAACCCTTTGGGATAATCTTGAAGAACTCTATACTGAAACCTCTTTGCCCAATAAAATTGTTGACAGAATCCCCAGAATATTTGCAATTATGTATCATATTTGATTGCGTACTATTTTAGGCAGTTGAGAGATTTGTTAGCTAGAAAATATATATTAGGAATCAGTTTTTTATTTTCCCTTTAATGAGGGAGATTAGTTACCTGTTTTGTATCATAAAAGAAGTCTATATATACTGATGTACAAAAACATAATAAAAAAGCTTATGCTCATATTTTTCATTCTCTGCTTTATGGTATCAGAGCTAGGGTTTTGATTCTGCCTTCCTGTTTCAAAAAAAAAAAAAAAAAAAAAAAAAATGTCCGAAGTCACGTCCAACTCTCAGCCTCCTCAGCCTATTCAGATTACTACAATCCGACTAAATGGTGACAACTTCCACCGGTGGTCACAATCTGTTCGCATGTATCTCAGAGGGAGAGGGAAAATTGGCTATATTACAGGAGACTTGAAGAGGCCTGACGTGAAGGATCCAGCCTACGCCGTTTGGGATGCTGAAAACTCCATGGTAATGACGTGGTTGGTAAACTCCATGGCTGAAGAGATAGGGACAAATTATCTCTGTTATTCTACAGCCAAGGAATTATGGGACAATGTCTCACAGATGTACTCTGATTTAGGAAATCAATCCCAAGTGTATGAATTAACCCTTCGACTTGGGGAAATTCGCCAAGGTG